ATGATGATGATGAATGATGATGTTGATGATGATGATGATGATGATGATGATGAGGAGGAGGAGGAGGAGGAGGAGGAGGAGGAGGAGGAGGAGGAAAAGGAGGAGGAGGAGGAGGGGGAGGAGAATGCGGAGGGTCCTGGAGGCTCTTCGCCGTGGCGGGGGCCCCAGGGGCCCTCCGCGGGCCCCCCGGCCACAGGCAGGAGGGCGCGGGATGAGCCACAGGCCCTGGGGAAACTCACGCGAGGTGCCAGGGCCCGCTCCCCGCGGTACCCGTGCTTTACCCCCCCCCCCCCCCCCCCCCGGCCACAGACAGGAGGGCGCGGGATGAGCCACAGGCCCCCCGTGCTTCACCCCCCCCTCCCCGCAGTACCCGTGCTTCACCCCTCCGCGGGCCCCCCCGGCCACAGACAGGAGGGCGCGGGATGAGCCAGAGGCCCTGGGGAAATCACGCGAGGTGCTCGGGCCCGCTCCCCGCAGTACCCGTGCTTTCCCCCCCCCCCCCAGGGTGTCAAATCGGCGGTGGACAAGCCTCCCTTTAGTCAACCTGCCCTTGGTGAAAACGGCCTGGGACCGAAACCGACGGGCTTGGACCTGCAAAAACGACGGCCGCGACGCCCTCTCGCGGACCGAGGAGGTCAGGGTAGGAGGTCTGTCCACCCCCGATCAAAGATGGTTACGTTTCGGAGCTTGGCGGCGAAAGGCTGGCGTTTCCCTCGGGAGAGGAGTGGCGGTGCATCAGTCGGGGATTGAGCCGTTTTGGGGGACGTGTCGGTGGGTACGTCCTGTAAGCACAAGCTCGATGCCTCGCAGGTCCTGTTGCCTTCATGGCGGAGGTAGTCCTGCTGGATCTGTCAAGCCACTTCTGGGCTCTTCCAAGCAGCGAGCTCCTCCAAACAGCGACCCTTTCCTTCCAGAGGCGGCGCAGGGCGCGAGCTCTTCCAGACAACCCCCTTCTTCCCCCACGGGCAGGGGCTGGCCCCTGCCGCACAGCAAACGTCGCAACGCTCCCCAGCTGGCCTACCCACGCTTAGGTCGGGCATGTCCTCCTACAGGCTGATTTTGGGCGAAAGAGATGAAATCCGCCGACCCTGTCGGCGTGTGGAAGAGGCTTCTCCGTCTGTTCCCTCTTCGTCGTCGTCGTCGTCGTTCCTTCCCCTTTCCCCACAGCGTCGTTGCTTCTACCCCTCTCCCAGGGCCTCCTCCTGAAGCGTGTCAGTCCAAAGCGAAATTGAGCAACGTCGTAATTGAGTCGAAGGGAAGCCCCTTCCCTTTGATCCCTTCCCCGCCCGGGGGGGGGGGGGGTCCTGGGGTGGGTCCCGGGGGGGTCCCGGGTTTTTACGCCGCCCCCCCGGGGAACCCGGAGCCCAAAAAAGCCCCAAGACGGGCCAAGAGTGCCCCAAGAGGCCCCCAAGACGATCTAAGAGGACCTCGAATCGCCGAATGATCTGTCCAAGACGCCTTGACGGCCTCCAGACGGCCCAAGAGGCCTGCGAGACGCCCCAAGAGGCCTCCAGGACCCCAAGAGGCAAAAATCATAGATTTCCCATACGTTTCTCAAGAATTTTGGCGTTCTCGCCTCTTCCGCTTCCCCACGCGCCAAGACGGCCCCGAGAGGCCCCCAAGGTCGCCCCGAGACGGCCCAAGAGGCCTCCAAGAGAGTCCCCAAACGGCCCAAGAGTGCCCCAAGACGGCCCAAGACGCCTCCAAGACGGCACAAGAGGCCCCCAAGACAGTTCCAAGAGAGTGCCCAGACGGGGGACCCGAACGGACATTTCGAGCCCTCAGCCCCGAGAAGCCCCCAAGAGGCCCCCAGGAAGCCCGAAGAGGCCCCAAGAGGCTCCCAAGAGGCCCCCAAACATCCCCCCAGAAGCCCCTGAGAGCGCTCGGAAGAAACCCCAAGAAGCACGTTTGAGGACTCAACCCACGTCAGCATCGTCGTCGTCGCTACCGCCGCCGCCGCCGCCGTCGTCGTTCCCCTTCAGGGTCGACGGCACTGGCCGTAAGGCCTTCGCAATAGTCTTAACGTACCCAACAATAATCGAACAATCAGGATCAATAATCCCCAAAGTATGTTTAAACTGTGTTTGAATACTCCTCCTGTACAGGGACGTGCCCGACGCACGCCCACGCGAAGAGGGTATTTGGATACCTCTGGGGCGGAACTGTCGTATTGAAGGCGCTTGTGGCTGATGGGCCCATCTGTGGCCACCTTGAGGCGCCCTGTGGGCCTCTCGGCACCTCCTGCGGGGGCCTCTGGGGAGCTCTTGGTGCCATCAGGGTGCCTATACCGCGGCCGCCTCTGGGGCTCCTCGGGCCCCGTTCCCGCAGTCTTGGGACCCTCCAGAGGAGGAGGAGGAGGAGGAGGAGGAGGAGGAGGAGGAGGAGGAGGAGGAGGAGGAGGAGGAGCAGGAGGAGCAGGATGAGGAGGCGGAGGCGGAGGAGGAGGAGGACAGGAGGAGGGAGAGAAGCCAGATTGCCAATGATACGAATTCGCCTTGCAGCGTGGGCCCTCGTGAGCCCTCATGGAGCCGCAGCAGGCAAACATCCGACACGAGACGGCAAACACACAAAAAGTACGATTTTGACACGGGTTCTTGGTGCCCTGGGGGGGGTCCTGGTTTGGGCCGCCTTGGGCCGTCTTGGGTCCTCTGGGGCTGTATCGGGGCTATCTTGGGCCAATCTGGAAGGCAATCCCGGACCTCCGGAGCCGTTCTGAAAGCCATCTTGGCTGTGTAGGAGGATATCTAGAATCATCTGCGCATTTCTGGCATACCTCTTGGACCACCCGTGGGACCTACCCATGCAAGGCGGGGCCCTTCCCACGCCCGTCTCGTGGCACGGGTCGACTGTGGAGGGACTGGCCTGGTCTGGAGAAGGGAGTTCCTCTCCAGGGGTCTAGACAGGGGTGTCGCGACCGGTTAGACCATCCAACATGGCCCTATACATACATGTAGACGGCTCCACAATGGCCCTCCAAGACAGGGAAATATGGTCCAGGCTGGTTCAAGGTGGACTCCAGTATGGCGTGATCGAGGCCGAGCTTCTGTGGACCCCGCCCCCAAGATGGCCAAGAGGGGCCCTGGAGGCGCCCAAAAGGACGGCCCAAGAGAGTCGCAGAAACGGCTCCCAAAAAGAGCCACAAGTGAACCCAGGGAGGACCCCAAAGGCCCCAGACCGCCCCAGGAGGGTCCCAGGATAGTGTCCAGGAGGCGGGCTGCGGAGCGTCCCCAACATCGGGTGAGGATAAATCGAGAATCTCTGAGATCCGGCGGCTCTGGAGGATGTCTCAGGCATCGCGCTCTGAGAGCGTTCTGGAACGCTCTGGAACGGATTGATCCTCGTTCTAGCCCCGTCCGACTGCCCATGCTCCACCCGTCCGCAAGCAGTGACATAGCGCATCCACCCGTCCGCAACCACCCGGGACAGACTTTCGACATTAGAGCAAGCAGTGACAGCTTGCAACCTGGTGTCATGGTAGCTACCGCGTGCAGGATCAGTCAGCATCGAATCGGGAAATTGGATCGTATCTGGACGTGCGTCGAATCGGGCTGCGTCGGCACAGGAATAGGATCGGCAGCGCCGAGGTGCACAACAGCGCCATGCAAACATTGGGCCGCATCGCATCGTCGTTACATCGGAACTCAGATCGAGCCGACCAGAACCGATATCGAACCAGAACCCGCGGATCGAACTGGATCATGGAGGGTGGGAGAGGTTGGCGGCTACGCCATGTAACACCGAAGCCATGGCACTGCGGTGCATCAAATGCTCGCCGCTGCAGCGGGAGGTGCTCACCGCTGCAGACGGTGTTGCTCTCGTGTGCCGTCAGGCGCACTCGCACGGGATGAGACCCCATCCACCTGGCGTTCCTCGTCCCCTCCTCTGCGGCGCGCGCACAGGGGCTCCGCCATGTAACACCGAAGCCATGGCACTGCGGTGCATTTGAAATACTCGCCGCTGCAGCGGGAGATGCTCACCGCTGCAGACGGTGCTGCTCTCGTGTGCCGTCAGGCGCAAACGCACGGGATGAGACCTCTCCTCCTCCTCCCTCTCCTCTCCCTCTCCTCCTCCTCTCCTCCTCCCTTCCTCCTTCCTCCTCCTCCTCCTCCTCCTCCTCCTCCTCCTCCTCCTCCTCCTCCTCCTCCTCCTCCTCCTCCTCCTCCTCCCCGTCCACCTGGAGTTCCTCGTCCCCGCCTCTGCGGCGCGCGCGCGGGGGTGGGCGCGAGGGGAAGCGGCATTCTCCTCTCCGCGGGCGGGGGGGGGGCTTCTTGAGAGGCAGGGCCCTCCTAGAAGACCTTGGGGGGTTCAAAGGGAAGGCTTTCGAGACGCCCAAACAGAGAGAAGGCTCCCGAGACGCCCAAACACACAAGAGCCCGCCAAGAAGCCCGCTGCCCTCTCCGACGCCCCCCCTCCCCCTCCCTCGTAGAAAACGGCCGCCCCCCCCGCGCTAGGCCCCCCCCCCCCCCCCCCCCCTCTGGACGCCGCGGACCTCCCTCCCCTCTCTCCCTCTCCTCCCCTCCCTCCACAGGAGCCCTCTCCCTCCCCCTCCCTCCCCTCTCTCCCTCTCCCTCCCCTCTCTCCCTCTCCCTCTCCCCCCCCCCTGTGGACGCCGCTGACCTCTCTCTCTCCCTCCCCTCCCTCCACAGGAGCAGGGAACAGCGACACCGCTGCCGCCAGGGACCACCGGCGGGAGGAGCCAGGGGGGGGTCCCCCTGGTGGTGTGGTCCCCCCCCTCTCGCTCGAGACGTCCCCCTACGGCAGGTTCGCGTCGTGTCGACCCCGGCGCCGGTTCCCGACATCGCGGGGATCGTTCAACCTTGAACGATCGGCCGTTCCCGAAACGTCAGGATCGTTCAACATCGCCCGATTCTGGGTCGCCGGCGACGCTCCACGTTGAACACCCGCGGCGGGGTCGCCGCGGGTCGGCACGACGCGAACCGACCTTATCCCCAGCTCCGGGGAGCCGTCGTGGACCTCCTCGCTGGAGGTGGCCCCTCTGGGTGGTGACGGTGTCGCCTCTCCGTCCCCCGACTCCCACCCCCCGCGTGGGCAACCCTGCCCTCGCTGCCTGGACCCCGAGGTGCGACCCCTCGGCGCCACGCGACCCTGTAAGGTGTGCGCTCCGCGCGGCGCACGGGCACGAGCCCGAGCCATACAGCGGAGGCCAGTCCACGAGAAGCCTTCCACAATAAACCCA